CCTAACCTGATGCTCTATCCCTCAAATAGTGCCTTTCCAGAAACAACGGGCATCTTTAAAATTCACGGACCCCCTGCCGCCTATCCAACCCCCCCTGTTCCCTGTCCCCTGATTGCCCCGACCCCTATCCTACACCCCCGCCTCCTGACAGGCCTCGTGGGACTCCCACGCCTATCCAACCCCCCCTGTTCCCTGTCCCCTGACCGCCCTCCCAACCTCCACCCCATCCAACCGCCCCCTGCTCCCTGTCCCCTGACTGCCCCCAGGACCCCCTGCCCCATATCCAACCCCCCCGCTTCCCACCCCCTTACCATGCCGCTCAGAGCGGCAGGACTGGCTTATTGGAAAGCCTGGGAGGTGGGTGGGCACAAGCCGCGCAACCCGGCAGGAGCGGTGGGTCAGAGTGCTCCCCACGTGGCAGCGGGGGAGAGGGAACAGCAGGGGAGGGGCCGGGGGTAGCCTCCCTGGCTGGGAGCTCAGGGGCCGGGCAGGACAATCTCATGGGCCGTAGTTTGCCCACCTCTGAGCTAGATGGATGAAATGCAAACCTTTATAACTAACGTTTCAAGCAAGGCTGCAGCATCTATAGATTTGAGTAGGAGACTGAAGTCAGGCTTCCTGGGCGCTATTCCTGGCTTGCAAGGTGACCATGGGCAAGTCACTACCCCACTGTGCCTTAGTTTCCCCACCGTGCCTCAGTTTCCCCACTGATTCTTATAGAAAGGGTATTCTGGAGTATCTACTTTGTCAGCAAGCACATTCCCAGCCAGCATTTACAGACCAATACACATTCGGTTTATACAACTCAGCTCAAACCGGAGTCATTTTTGAAGTGCAGCTGCAGGAGGAGTCAAAATAAAGGTGGTACAATGGAACAGTCTCGTCATTCGTTTACCTGCACTTGCTAAGTGCCTTAGGACAGCATTCAGAGGGGAGGCGAGGTACTGCTGGATTCTAACAAGCTTTTAGAGCTGGACAAGCTATCTGAAGAAGAGATTCCTCTTGGATATCGACAGGAAAAGACGAGGAGGAATGGATTTTTTAAACACTTTCCAATTCTCCATAAACAATGGTGTTTGTTCACAAATCTGACTGCTAGTTTGGGGGTATACGAGTCTCAGAGAAAGAATCTCCTTGTAGCATTTTGACTCCAAGCCACAAGAACATCCTACTAGTACAGATGAACCAGAAAATGAAATTGAGAAGAAGGCAGAATGAAATGAACCAGCCCAGTTCCCCATCCCAACCCAGTGAGTAGGCTACAGTGGAACTGGTAGATAGGAGTGTCCCAGTAGCACTAACCTGGGCATGAAGGAACCTTCGGGCTTTTTAAAGACGCACTGGACGTTCTCCCAGCCAGGGAACTCGGGGGCACTGAATTTCACAGGATTGTCCACACCAGATGAACAGCTGTCCTCAGCAAGGTCAAAGGTTAGATTCAGGTCTCGGATGGTCAGCGTAGCTGGAGTGCAACAGTTTTGGGCAGCAGATGTTGTCAGGGGCACCCGACTTTTGGTGACTGTTGTTGGGCAGGGTTTTGGGGTGCAATAAGGCACTAGTTGAGCAGGTTTAGCTTCCTTTATAATGGGGGTGCTGTGACTGATTGTCACTGGAGGAGCAGCTGGTTCATTTGCGGAGCCCCTTCGCCTTCGCCGGCCAGGAAGGGAGGATTTCCGCTGGCGCTTCGCCTGCAGTTTTGGCGTGGCAGGAGTTCCTGTTTTGGATGGGCTGCTCATTTCCGACCTCCTCCTCTTCTTCGTTGGCAGGCTGGGAGTCTTGGCTGAGGGACTAGGGACCAACACAAGCTCCTGCAAGGACCGCGTCACAGCCCTCGTCATCGGGGCAGCACGCTCTGTGGCAGGCGCACCCTGCAGCCTGGTGGCCAATGGCACAACTAGGAGAGTAGGTAAGTAGAGTGTTAAGAGATATAGCCACATCTCCCCGTATCTTCTTAAGTGCCAGCCCGTCCAGAGCGGACACCTGGGGCAGTCACTAAGCAGTCCTACAGCGGAGCCTCCTGCATGCCCCCCGCCCCCCAAAGCAGGTAGGAAAGGCCATGCTGGCACAGTCATAGACATTAGGAGTTAGGTCTTCTGGGTTCTCCTTCTGGCTCACAGAGGGATGATGCCCAACTCCTCAGTGATTCTAAGGCATCTGTCACTGCCTGGTGTGCCGGAGCTTGATGTGAAAACCAGCCCTCTGGTTTACAAGGAAGGGCGCTGCTAGCGGGCTGTTCTCAGGGAGGGGCAATAGACGTTCACATTTGCTGTCTCCCGTTCCTGCAATCCAGAGACCCCCTTCTACCCAAGCCAACCAAAACAACAAAGAAGTAAACATTACCCTGGAACAAGTCAACCTCAAGAGAACAAGTCTAAAAGAACAAACAAAAAGGCTTGCCCACCCAGAGCAGAGTTTTTACTGTGAAAAGGGGGAGGAGGTCCCTGAGACTCTGAAGTCCATTAGGCACTTTGGTATTGCTACTGATTTTACATGGCCGGTGCCTCTGGAGATGGGCGGCAGTATCTATGAGAGACGGATCCCTAGGCCCGTCTGTGAATGCTGGTTCCCCATTTTGGGGAGGGGTAGTCAGCAGCTGGAAGAGCTGTGGGGTCACTGGGCTGAGTTTTGTGCAGGCACCAAAAGCACTGAAGTCTAAACATAGAATTAAAAAGAAACCCTGTAAAGTCTCTAAGCCTCACTTCCCTGATCTGTAAACCCAGGAAATACTGACCTGTCGTACAGAGAGGAGCCTTGCAGAGCCTCAGCTACACGGTGCTGGGAGATGGCCTACAGGGCTATGCCCAGGCTTCTGTGAGTGTGATTAACCTGCCATATCCACATTTTTAAAATGTGTGTATAATTGCAGTGCTGGTTTGTTTGAAACAACAAGTGCCCCTGGCCCCTATTGGTTACAGAGAAAGCCTTCAAACATGAACCAAGTGTGACCAACGCCGCGACCTGCACTCAGAGCTCGTCTGCCCGGAGCTGTAATGATTTAACCGCGCTTGATTTTAACCAGAGGGACTTAGCTGGGGGTAGAGGCTGTGCCACTGCGCCAAGTCCCAGTGCTGCAGCCACTCAGTTGCCTTTGTCCTCAAAGTGCATTGGAGTTGGGTCCCAGATGCCGAGTTCATGCTGGGGCTACACACGTCGCACCCAGCTGTGCTCGAGCCTGCTAGGGAGTTTGGGCCGCAGGGGACGCTAGGGAGCAGCACCAGAGGTCCAGGGCAGGCAGCCACTCCCACTGGGAGGGAGGACAGTAGTGACCACCCCAAAGCGTGAGCCACTGCACAGAGCCTTCCAGGCTTCTCCGCCCTGTCACTCAGGCACACACTTCAAATCCTGGGGGGACAGCAGAACATAGAGGTTGAGGCCCAGCTGTTCTGGAGACCACACCCACACAAGCTCACCGTTATCCGAGTGCTGCTGCTCCTCTGGGGCTGGGATGCTTTCACTGGTCACCTCGGCTCCACCCAGAGTCCCAGCTGGCTCTTGACTCCTACTGGTTTCTCTTTGCACCAGGTATTCCAGTTCCTCAAACTCTGAGACCATGTCAGGGGTTAGGAGGTTGGCAGCCTTCAGCAGAAAGTACTGCCTTTGTGCCACATGCAGGACAGCAAGGACCAGCCTGGGATAGAAAGGGCCAGAACATGAGTTTCGCTAGAAGAGATTAACACTGTCACCAATAGGCTAGCGCAGTGTAGCACTGGAGGGATAGATAGCTCAGTGGTTTGAGCATTGGCCTGCTAAACCCAGGGTTGTGAGTTCAATCCTTGAGGGGGCTATTTAGGAATCTGGGGAAAAAATCTGTCTGGGGATTGGTCCTGCTTTGAGCAGGGGGTTGGACTAGATGACCTCCTGAGGTCCTTTCCAATCCTGATATTCTATGCCTCCCATGTCATGTGAGAACCTGGCCCCAAGAACCAGTTAGTAAGCTGAAAATAGTGACTTTGACCTTGGTCTTCTGGGCACCGAGGTTCCATCACCAGCACCTCACACCCACATACCACCTACCTGCATTGGTTCCAGGAAGCACCGACACACCTGTTCAATTCCAGGTGTCCTCTTAGGGCCACGCAAGAGCACAGACTGTTAGTACAAGGGGTGGCCAAACTTTACTGCAGTGTTGCAGCTTGCTGCCAGTCCAAAGGCTGCATCTCAGCTGTAAATGGATCGGGCAGTGGAGCCCAATCCAAGGCGGTAAGATCTGGTCAGACTATTTTAAGACTGCAACAGCAGAGAAGGAATTGCTGCTTGATGAGTTCACCAGCAACAGAACCTGCAGGTTGTCAACTCTATAGTCACCCTTTGGTTCCAGAGCTGGTATCGGGGCACTTGGGACTCTGGGCTGGGCTTTTGGGACCTCTGGTTCTTGGCCAGGCTGGCAGTGAGACTTGGCCAGGTTTTAAGTTAAATGCCCCCCTCCCCCAGGCCTCCCCCTTAAGAGTAACTTTCCCAAGGGATCCATTCTGGCAGGAGACTTAGGGCAGAGACCCCAGCAGACTGTTTCCTGGACCCACCCCAGGCACACCCTATAGAAGCCCAGGACGTAAGGAGAGCTTCCAGAGGTGAATTCTACCAGTCTGAAGTTCGGGTTCACATGCCATTTGCCACATTGGGAATTCCGACTCCGCTCTGCTGGCAGAACCCATATTACTGGGATTCCTGGAGAAAGGGCAGTTACTTTCCTACCACTAGTACCTTAGGATATAAATTACTTGGGCTGGATCATTATTGTTCCTATGGCAGCTTTGGCACAGAAACAAAGTCTTCCCTACACATGGTACGTTGGCCAGACCTTGGTTTTGTCTCCCCCGGAGCATTTCACAGAGATCACCCATTAGGATCAGGTAGGGGCATCCCATATGATCAGTCTCCAGTGGGCTACGGGAGGTGCTGCCTTTATAGGACAGGTAACTGCAGAGGCCCTATATCCCTGTGAACTGTTCCTGCCCCTTCACAATCCCCATGAGGAGCACAAGCACCCTGCAGACTGGGCTGGTTATTTCAGCCTGGGCACAGCCTCACCCCAGTACTGCCGCACAGTTCACCTCACCACAGGAAGGAGCACGTCCCTTGCCCCTATGTGCGCGTATGTGGGGGTGGCAGTGGGGGAGGTGGTGAGGGAACACTCACCTCTGGGTCTGATCCCGGGGCAGTCCCTGTAGCAGAGAGCTTGGTTTATTGGTTTTCTGCTGAAGATCTGTGGCATAGTCATGAAGTTCCTTCTCTGGCGTCTGAATTGATCACAAGGAGGGAACGTTAGTATCAAATGCTTTTGCTCAGTTTTGCCAGCTCCTGCCACTCTCACCTGGTGCAGGTTTAATGGAGGAGAGAGTTTACTGTAGAGCAGAGGACACAGCTTCAGCACACGCTGTAACTGGCCCCCCAGACAGTAACGTATGTCATGTAGATGGGGCTGTCCTAGTACTTTACAGCAGAACCAAGCAGCATGAGAGACTAGTGGGCTGCACTGCACATCACACGTCCATTGAGCTCGAGACCTTGTACTGCAGTATGCACTGGAGAGCTCAGAACAAGGTGAACGGCCATCAGCGAGGTGTTCTATAGAGCCATGACCCTGTGGGACTGAGCACAGCTTTGGAGCGGTCTCTTATCCTTCCCCATGATAATGCTCATCTTCCAAGGCCACAATTCCAGCTTCTCTACTCCCCTGCTGCTCACCCCCGCATAGTTATTGCCAGAGCCCTGCTATTCCTCGTCAGTGTCTCACCACCTATCCTGCACTTCCCCATACCCTGCAGCTGTCTCATTCTCACCACGTCTCCAGACCTGCCTGAGGGCTCCTCTGCCAACCAGCCCCTTCTCTCACCTGTTCCACTGCTCCCAGGTCCTGTTGCTGAAAGGGGGGTCTCACTTTCCGCTCCTGCTGCTGTATCACCATTTCCTGGTTCCCCTTATCAGGGACTTCATGATCTGGAGACACCTCCTGTGCAGCCTCTGCTGACCTGTAGCAATGCAGAGGAAGAAGCAGCCATAACAACACAGAGACAAGCTCTTTAGGAGCAGTTGCCAGAGCAGATCTGGGTGAAAAGCTGCCGTGTTTTCTGCCACCACTCACAGGCTTCTCTGGGGAGCTCAGAGACCCTCATGGAGACCTTTACTTTTCAGTCAGATTTTGCAAGCCTAGTCCTGTGCTTAGTCTGTCAAAAGGCCTTCATGGACCACCTTCCCTCTCACTTGTCAGTGAGTCACTCTGCCCATCCGGGCTTCGGGAAGCACTGGTGGGCAGACTATGGCTTCATCATATGCCGGAGTGTATGACTGACATGACCATGTGCTTAGCAAGTCAACAGGTGTGGCTGCATTCCAATCAGCTCTGCTTTCAGACACGTGATTTGGGATCCAATCAAGAGTAAAAAGAACCCTAAAGCTCCTTGATGGGGAAGCCTGGGGGATAGGATGGAGCATTCAGCCCTGTTCCGGTCTCCCGGAAGGACAAGATGTTGATGATCAACGAAACGTACCTGAGCAGCTCCACCTGCCAAGGGGTAGACTGTGCCTGAGGAGCTGGAACCTGGTGGTCTGGATCCTGGGTGTTTCCCTCGTAAGCTTGGAGCTTCTCTCGCAGAGTTGCCACCTGCAAGGGAAATTCCACCCATTTAGATCCAATTTCCCCATCCATTCATGGCATTCGCTGGCAACGCCACAAAACTACACCTCCCTTCTGAGAGCGGCAGCCTACGCACTGCAGGAGAGACCTTGACGCTGAGGACTTGCTGTGTTCCTCCTTCGCTTGAGCCCCTAAGCAGCAAGGGACACCAAGCATGTCTGCCACTTGCTCAGGAGCCGGTAGTCATACTCCACTACAGAAACTGCAGTCAGGAGAAGTTCATGCATTTCCAGGAGACCCCTCCCGAGCCCCCACCCATGACACTTGGAGTCCTTGGAGAGCAGCCAGGTACCTGCCCTTTATACCCCTTCTTCCCCCAAGCAGTCTGCCAACCCCCCTGGAGTCTGTGGCTCACTTGTATGAGACTGTGCAGCACCTTCAGGTCCAAGTGTTCCAAGGAGGTCGTTACCAGAATCCAGCCACTGCACTAGCCCCGTGTTGGTTTGACATTCAGTTCCGTCTTACTCTGCCCTGACATTTGTCAGTGTTGTGATCTGTCTAGCAGATTGCCAGCTCCGGCTGGAGCAACAGGGCAATTCACTGGTGTGGGGATAGCAAAGAAATGCTAAAAGGACATTGTGTGTTCAAGCCAATTCACAAAGGGGGATGTTATCACATTGCATTTACATGGCAGATGCCCCCTAATTACATTTGCTCTAAATTCATGAAAACTAGCAAAATGCTGATGTTATTGTCTTCACTTACCTATAACCTGTCGTTTACTATTGCATTACATTATGTAAACCCCGTACTTAATTAACCCTAGGTCAGAAGTGTATGTTAGTGAGAATTTACGTGGTGTGTAAACTGCATGAAAATTAATGAATGATACTTGTATTGTTTTCACTTCTCTATCCCTATCCCTCTATCTATCCTCTATCCCTGCCTGTAACGGCAGGCGATTGCATTCTGTATGTCACTGCAACTGCATTACTTGTGAAGGGTAACTTCAGAGCAAGAGTCGTTGGGTTCAGCAATGGATACAAAAGCGGTCAGCTAATTTTCTGTGAGCAAGAATCTATCAATACTGGTTCAAGGGAACTATTCTGCATCTTTGAACTGTTTTGGATTCTAATAGGGTGGAATATTGAACAAGTGGGCAGAGATCCCCACAGTTATTCTGGGTAACGCAGAGAGACTTATTGAAATCTAGCAGCTCACTACATCTCTGCGATCATATTGGACTTACAAACTTCGACTCCCTGTGAATGCCCATTTTACCTGCTTTAACCTCTCAATAACGCGTATTGCTTTTTCTTAGCTAATAAAGCTTTTGTTCGTTTACTAGAGAAACTGGCTGTCAACATTGTCTTTGGTGTGAGATCGAGTACCCATTGACCTGGGGTAAGTAACCGACCCCTTGGGGTCGGGAGTAACCCAATATGAGGTGATGTTGGTGTTAATAACCTTTCATCACAAAGTTCAGTTTGTCTGGATGGTAAAGGGGGGCTGGAGAGCCTAAGGGGACTGTCTGTGGCTCCATGGCAGAATGCCAAGCGGAGTGCCCCAAAGGTCGGTCCTGGGGCCGGTTTTGTTCAATATCTTCATTAATGATCTGGACTTGGAGGATGGCGTGGACTGCACTCTCAGCAAGTTTTCAGATGACACTAAACTGGGAGGAGTGGTAGATACGCTGGAGGGTAGGGATAGGAACAGAGGGACCTAGACATATTAGAGGATTGGGCCAAAAGAAATCTTATGAGGTTCAACAAGGACAAGTGCAGAGTCCTGCACTTAGGACGGAAGAATCCCATGCACTGCTACAGACTAGGGACCAACGGCCAGGCAGCAGTTCTGCAGAAAAGGACCTAGGGGTTACAGTGGACAAGAAGCTGGATATGAGTCGACAGTGTGCCCTTGTTGCCAAGAAGGCTAACGGCATTTTGGGCTGTATAAGCAGGAGCATTGCCAGCAGATCAAGGGATGTGATCATTCCCCTCTATTCGACATTGGTGAGGCCTCATCTGGAGTACTGTATCCAGTTTTGGGCCCCACACTACAAGAAGGATGTGGAAAAATTGGAAAGAGTCCAGTAGAGGGCAACAAAAATGATTAGGGGGCTGGAGCGCATGACTTATGAGGAGAGGCTGAGGGAACTGGGATTGTTTAGTTTGCAGAAGAGAAGAATGAGGGGGCATTTGATAGCTGCTTTCAACTACCTGAAAGGAGGTTCCAAAGAGGATGGATCTAGACTGTTCTCAGTGGTGGCAGATGACAGAACAAGGAGTAATGGTCTCAAGTTGCAGTGGGGGAAGTTTAGGTTGGATATTAGGAAAAACTTTTTCACTAGGAGGGTGGTGAAGCACTGGAATGGGTTACCTAGGGAGGTGGTGGAATCTCCTTCCTTTAGAGGTTTTTAAGGTCAGGCTTGACAAAGCCCTGGCTGGGATGATTTAGTTGGGGATTGGTCCTGCTTTGTGCAGGGGGTGGGACTAGATGACCTCCTGAGGTCCTTTCCAACCCTGGTAGTCTATGATTCTGTGGTAAGACTGGTAGAGTGATCCAGCAGCACACATTTGTTACCGGCTTCGTGAAATCTAATTACAGAACACACCCCTAGTTTTCTGACAGTCTGACCTGAGATTGGCACACTCAGTTGTAAGACATACAGTCTTACTTTGCCCCAGTATTTTTCAATGTGTTGCAGGTTTATTGACCATTTGCCTTGTAGAAGAGGTCAGGGGGAATGTGGAGATTCTGGCAGCTGGCTGGGGACACTAGGAGCTTTGGGGAGCAATAGGGCAGTTCACACTTCAGTGCCATTGTTTCTGGCTGTCCTGCTGCAGATTCAGGCAGGGAGGGCTACAGCAGTTACACGCCATTCACCTCTCTTCACAAACAAGGCAGAGAGTGATTCATTACTGGGGCCTAGAGCAAGTGCTGCAGGACCCCAGAATACCTGGGCCCCTGGATCTGTCCAGCAGCAGCGCTCTCATAGCAGCCCCAGAAGAGTCCATTCCAGTCCTCTGCTCTTCCTTAACGTAAGACACTGCCCACTGACTGGGCTAAGCAGTTCTCGGGCAGCACAGCCAACACCACGAGCCTATCACAGCACTCCTGGTACTTACAGTCCCAGAGTAGTGCTGGTCTCTGACAAGGGCTACAGACAGAACTGCTCACCAGCCCCCTGTAAGGCATCTCACCTCTGCTTTCAGCTGCTCACAGATAGCTGCGTACTTCGTGATGTGGCAGTCCAGGCTGAGCACGTTACTCTTCAGCTGCAGGGTGGAAAGGGGGCGGGGAAGGAGGAGAGAGGGTTAAAGGAACAGACGTGGAGAGAACTGAGAGGCCAGTGAGTCCTGGTGCTGAGTCCCAGGCACTCTATGGGTTCGTTTAAGCAGAGCTGCTGGGATACCCCTGGGATGCAGGGAACACCTCTACGGGACAATTCTGAAGGGAGAAGCTCCCTTTCATGGTCACTAATGCCCACCCATGAAGTGACGCTTTGCTTTAGCCAATGCTCACATCTCCTCCAGAGTAAGCTGCATCACCATCAGCAACTCTAGCTGTGCTTGTCCCCAGAGCAGGCACAGATCCGAGGACGAGACAGTTCAGAGATCTAAAGGAATGTCTACCAGTGGATTAACTGAACTAAGACCCCTTTAATTATCCAGAGGCACTACGGTAGTGCTCACGGAGCCAGCTTTTGCCCCGGCCCACTTGCCAACAGCCTCTCAACACAGTGGCACCGTACAAAGAGAGGTCTGTACACAGATGTGCGGGACCCACCGACAGTTTGATCTCCTTGGCCCGATTGGCATACTTGAGCGTGTTGTAGGTGTCCTCATAGGCGAGTGCAGATGGGCTGATGGCAGCAATCATGATGGTCCGGCAGTTGCCCCCAAGAGAGTCCTTCAGCAGGCGTGTGAGCTTACTGTCCCTGTACGGGATGTGGGACTTCCTGCTCTGTTCGGAGACATCAGGGGACTCACCTCAGTTGTCAGGTATCTCTGAGAATCCTGGCATGCTAATATCCTAATGCTCAGACTCATTCCCATAAACCCAGGCTAGGAAGCAAGTGCCCGAAGAGGCAGTTGGTCCAGTCCTGTTTTACCACAGTTAATGTCAGAGACTATTCCTAATCCTGTGAAGTCTTCCTGAGCTAGATGTGTCAATATCCTGCAGCAGAGAGTTCCTTAGGTTTGTCAGACAAGGACATACCTTATGTCAAGTGTCCTTTTAACCCCTGCCCTTTGCACTGCAAGGATGCAAGGTGGTTTTCCGAGGAGGGTGTATTGTGGAAGGGTGGATCAGGGGCATTACCTTTGCATCAGCCAGGGCGTTGATGACATTGATCAGGGCCAGCAGTGAACGGTTGATGTTGGCACCCTCTCGGAGCCGCTCTCCCTTTGTGTTGGTGGTTGAGGCTCGCTCCGAGCCTGCCAGGTCAATCAGGCTCATCTTGGCCACCTGCAGGTCCTGAGTGATGCCAACGACACGGTCCTGCTGCTTCACATAGATCTGCGAGGACAGGAAGAAAAGATAAAGATAGTGAGGAAAGATAAGGCAAGGCCTCAAGACCTGCTCAGCCCAGTCAGCAGGCAATGTCTTATCGAAGGGGACAGCAGAGACCTGAATATGAACTCTCCTGGGGTCTCATAAGGCCACCACTCAAAGGATTCGCTGCAGGACTAGCCATCATCACAAGCAATGAAAGCAAGGGCATGTGTTTCCTCTCCACTCACTGATCTACAGAGCCACCTTGCCAAGCTACAGGTCAACTATCTTCCCCCGACTGAGGGTCTAGAGGAGAGAAAACACTGCCCAGTGTTCCCCACACTCAGTTCTAGGATCTCGCAGGCCATAAGGCCAACTCTGATTGGTCTCAGGTTGTGGGAGAACTTGTAATGGATACAGGATATGACAGGTTAGCATGTGTATGTCTGTATCAGTCTGCAAACTCCATTTTGATTGTAACTTGTACTGCACCTTTGCTTTTGCCTTTTACCCTCCATCATATTGGGCCGGGATGTCTAGAAGGTATGAGCAGAAACCTTGCCCGCTAGCGGCGGGTTAACAAGAGAGCAATCAAGAGTCACTAACCTGAATGATCTTCCATTCAAATGGGAGTGTCCTAGAACAATAAGCTGTCCCTTGGGTGGTGGGCTTATCAGGGGGACCAGTGTCGCCAGTCTGAACTGTAGATGGGCTGTCACCAAGCAATGACACGCCGGACAAGGGACTTAAAGTTGACGGGGGGGCAGGGGCACCTGACAGACAGTAGCGTAGCTGGGGAGGAGCGGGGCAGCGGCCACTCCCCCACTGAGCACAAGTGGCGCCTGGTCAATTTCTTGGCGCCTTTGTACTCACCCAGGGGAGCGATACAACAACAACAACAAAAGGCGCCACCCGCTGCAGCGCTTTTACTCACCCGCGGGGCTCCGGGTCTTCGGCGGCAGGACCGTCACTCACTCCAGGTCTTCGGCGGCCGGTCCTTCAGTGCCGCTGAAGACCCGGAGTGCCGCCGGGTGAGTAAAAGCGCTGCAGCGGGTGGCGCTTTTTTTTTTTGTATCGCTCCCCCTGTTCCCTCCACCTGGCTACGGCACTGCTGACAGAGGGGACTGGAACTGTATAAAAGGACAAGTCCTGCTCTTACCAAGGGCTGTCTGACTGACCAGAACAAGATAACAAGGCTGTGCAGGAGAAGAGGAGGGTCCTGGGACGCTGGAAGGACTGACCAACCCCCAAAGGGCTCTCAGAGTGGTGAGGACACTGGAAGGAGGGTTTGATGTGCAGATGTTTGTTATATTCTGTAGATTTGTATCGATCAGTGAAGAATGACTGGTTGAGAAATTCCTTTGCTGAGTCTACGCGTCCCTTGTTTTAATGGTCATGTAGTCTCCAAGGATGAAATAGCAATCCAGAGGGTGCATTGCTTCGGAGGAACTTTGGGGAGCATGCATTTGCTACAGGGGAGGCCAGCAGTAGCTGGATTGCAGAATTGCGTATCTCAGGAAGGGGTGCTAGATAGAGGATATGCATCCTGAAAGTGTGCCTGGAAGCCCAGACCTTGAGACAGTGACTAGACTGTCCAGATCCAAACACCCTAAGAGCATGTGGGATCTAGTAGTTGCATCCAAACAGCAACCTGGTGAGTGTCCACAAGGGGGAGCTCAGCCAGGGTTGCAAACACACGGCTTCTCATTTCTAGGCCAGCTTCACCTCTGGCTCCGTGAGTGACTGAAAGTCATTGCCATTTGTTGGCCCATAAGAAATGAGATTTGTGGGGCTCTGACCCATTAAGGGAGTTTATAGATACTTTATATACTATAACAGGGTTAAAAAAAATGAGATAAGGTCATGGAGAACAGGTCCCTCAATGCTTGTTAGCCAAGATGGTCAGGGACACAACTCAATGCTCTGGGTGTCCTTAAACCTCTGCCTGCTAGGAGCTGGGACTGGACAACAGGGGATGGATCACTTGATAAAGTATCCTGTTCTGATCATTCCCTCTGAAGCATCTGGCACCAGTTGAAAGACAGGACCCTGGGCTAGGTGGATCACTGGTCTGATCCAGTGTGACTGTTCTAATGATCTGAAGCAAACCCTGTTCTCAACTACTCTCTCCCTCTCATCCCCACACAAAGCCTCAGCTACTCTCCCTCCTCACCTCACTAGCTCTCTCTCCAAGCAGTGGCTGTCCCAGTGGGCCAGCAGCCTTACATGGGTTAAAGGAGAATATAGTAGTAGGAATATCCTATCCACTACCTGACAAGGATGGTGACCATGGTTGTGAAATGCTCAGGGAGACTAGAGAGGCTACAAAGGCAGAAAATACAATAATAACCGGGGATTTCAACCATCTTGATATTAACTGGGTATGTCACTTCAGGAAGGGATGCCGAGATAAAACTTCTAGGCACATAAAACGACTGCTTCTTGTAGCAGTTTGTCCTGGAACCCACAAGGGGAGAGACAAATCTTGAGTTAGTCCTAAGTGGAGCACAGGATCTGGTCCAAGTGGTGGATATAGCTGAACCGCTCAATAATAGTGGTTTAATTTAGTGTAATTAAACGTAACATGCTTGTGGGATGAAAATGCCAAAGAAACCCACCACAGGAACGGCACAAAACTAAGGAAGCTAGTTAAATGGAAAATTAAAAGGAACAGTCACAACTCACATGCCTGCAAAGAGCATGGAGACTATTTAAAAGCACAATAATAGAGGGTCATATTAAATGTATATCCCGAATTAAAAACAAAAACAAACCAAAAAAACAGTAAGAGGACCAAAAATATGCCACCATGGCTTAAGAGCAGAGTAAAAGAGGTGGTGAGAGGCAAAAAGGCCTTTAAAAATTAGAAGTCAAATCCTAGTGTGGAAAACAGAAAGGAGCATAAACTCTGCCAGGTCAAGTATAATAGGGCAGGCCAAGAAAGAATTTGAAGAGCAACTAGCTAATGACACAGAAAAAAATTGCTGTTACTTTTGAAGTATATCAGAAGCAGGAAGCCTGGCAAACAGTCAGTAGCGCCACTGAACGATCAAGGCGTAAGGAAGACCAGAGTGTTGTGGAGAAACTAAAGCAATTCTTTGCATTGGTCTTCACTGCAAAGGAGGTGTGGGAGATTCCCTACACCCGAGCCATTCTTTGTAGGTGACAAATCTGAGGAATTGTTCCAGATTGAGGTGTCGATAGAGGGGATTTTGGAACAAATTGAGAAATTAAAGAGTAGAAGTCACCAGGACCAGATGGTATCCATCCAAGAGTTCTGAAAGAACTTAAATATGAAATTGCAAAACTACTAACTGTGGTATGTAACCCATCACTTAAATCAGCCTCTGTACCACATGACTGGAGAGTAGCTAATGTGATGCCGGTTTTTAAAAGAGGCTCCAGCAGCAATCCTGACAATTACAGGCCACTAAACCTAACTTCAGGATGTGGACAAGAGTGACCAGTGGATATAGTGTACCTCAACATTCAGAAAGCCTTTGACAAGGTCCCGCACCAAAGGCTCTTAAGCAAACTAAGCAGTCCTGAGATAAGAGGGAAGATCCTCTCATGGATCAATAATTGGTTAAAAGATAGGAAACAAAGGGTAGGAATAAATGGCCAGTTTTCCCAATAGAGAGAGGTAAATAGTGGGGGCCCCCAAAGGATCTGTGCTGTTCAACACATTCATAAATGATATGGAAACAGTGATGTGGCAAAATCTGAAGATGATGCAAAATTACTCAAGATAAATCCAGAGATGATCGTGAAGAGTTACAAAGAGATTTCACTAAACTGGGTGACTGGGTGACAAAATGGCAAATGAAAATTCAGTATTGATAACGATCAAGTAATGCACATTGATGAAAATAATCCCAACTATACATACAAAATGATGGGTTCTAAATTAACTGTTACTGCTCAAGCAACAGATCTTGGAGTCATCTGACAGTTCTCTGAAAACATCTGCTCAACGTGCAGTGGCAGTCAAAAAAAGCTAACAAAATGTTAGGAACCTTAGGAATGGGATAGATAATATGACAGAAAATATCATAGTGCTGCTATATAAATCCATGGTATGCCCACATCTTGAATACTGTGGGCAGTTCTGATTGCCTCATCTCAAAAAAGATATTAGAATTGGAAAAAGTGCAGAGAAGAGCAACAAAAATGGTTAGGGCGATGGAACAGCTCCCATATTAGGAGAGATTAAAAGACCGGGACTGTTCAGTTTAGAAGATAGATAAATAAATAATGCCTGTATCTGTAATTTTCACTCCATGCATCTGAAGAAGTGGGTTTTTTATCCACAAAAGCTTATGCCCAAATAAATCTGTTAGTCTTCATTGTTTTTATGGATACAGACTAACATGGCTACCCCCTGATAGATAAATAAAGGGTGGCATACAGAGGTCTATTCTCACACCCCAATGGCCCCCTCCCTCAAGGGGTCCCCTGGGGGAGGCAGATCAGCATTGTATATTGCTAACGCATTTTGGAAAGGATCAAAGGTGTGAGTAAGTGTGGAATGGAAAATTCCTTTGCCGGTCCGAGAGGCCAGAGGGGGAAGAAGGAAAAGAGCAAAGAACGGGTTAACTCGACACTTTAGCGAGCTCTGTGTAAAAATAAAACGCTGGCCCCAGTCCAAGGTCATGGGTGCGACGAGAAATCTGCAGCTGTCTAGCCGTAAAAAGAGAAAAACAAAGCTGAGCAGGGCTGCAAAAATAGCAGTAAAAACAGTGAAAGCAAATGAGATGGCGAAGGCCAACAGGGGGGAAAACAAAGTCTCTGGAGCTGGAATGTTTTGGGAAGCCAAAGGGGCCACAGCGAGCAAGTATGGACTGGTACAAAAAGCACCAGAAACAGAGGGTCCTGGACAAAAAACACCCCCAAAAAACCCAGGACTTAAAACCCTCCCGAAAGCCAAAGCAAGTTGGAGATCGCAGCGGACCCCGGACACCCTGTGCCCAGAACAGAACTCCCATCCATCCTTCCCCCTCTTCTTCTTACGTTACACCCAGGCTTGGCCAGCCTCGGGTAAAGCGTGTGTGAGTATGAAAGTGGGTTAGGGCTTGGGGCACTAATGCTTTCTTCCTTCCACCCCTCACTCTCTGCTGTTACTTTATTAATAAAGCTTCAAAACTTAAACACTTGGTGTGTTTTGTCATCTCCTTCCCTAAAAATCCTGTGGCCTCAGCCTAATCACCTGATGCCTCAGGCAAATTGGTAACAAAAATCTGTCACACTATATCATCATCAATGGTGTGGGGAAAGTGACTAGGAAAGTGTTATTTACCCCCTTCACATAACACAAGCACTAGGGGACCAGCTGATAAAATTAACAGGCAACGGGTTTAAAACAAAACACAAGGAAGTACTTCTTCACACAACGCACAGTCAACTTGTGAAACTCATTGCTGTGGATGTTGTGAAGGCCAAATGTATAACTGGGTTCAAAAAAGAATTAGAGAAGTTCCTGGAGGACAGGCCTATCAATGGCTATTAGTCAAGATGGTCAGGGGCACAACCCCGTACTCTGAGTGTCCTTAAGCCTCCAGCTGCCAGAAGCTGGGGCTGGACAACAGGGGATGGATGGATGACTAGATAATTGCCCTGTTCCATTCATCTCCTCTGAAGTATCTGGCACTGGCCACTGTCAGAGACAAGAAACTGGGCTAGATGGACAGTTGGTTTGACTCAGTGTGGTCCTTCTTATGTTCTTAAGGAGCAGGGCCAACAATCAGCCCCGCCTCCCTGCACAGAGCCACTCTGAGCCAGTTCCTCTCCTCCCACATGATTAGTTGCCAGCCTAAGTGAAAGGAAGAAGCCACCAGTAGGAGAGGAGGTGTGATGGGGTGGACTAGGCCAGAGGCCCCCTGGTGGAGGCCTCAGGGTCCTGCCACACTCATCCCAGGTAAGGAGCAGTGGAGAGGTCCTCCAAGCAGGCTAGAGTGAACCCTATAAAAAGGAGCTACAACGCCAGAGACAGGGCAGTTGCTGCTTGGAGCTGGAGAAGAAAGGACTGCATGCCTGGCTGCCTGGAAGAGCAGCAGGGTCATGGACAGCTCAGTGTGGGCAGGGACTGGGGGAGCAAGAGGCTCCTAGCTGGCTGCTAGGACTGAGCCAAAGCCAGTTTGCTAGCAGGGACTGGAGAAGCAATGAAGGAGCTCCTGGCTGGCTATGGGCACTGAGTAGGGACTGAGCCTGGGGAGGGCTGCAGGAAGATAGTATCTCCAGGGAGGAAGCCCTGGGGATACAGCCCCATACCAGGGCTAGACTAGTTTAAAGACCACAGCCACACCCAACCAGAGTGGGTGCTCGCGAGAGGTGGGTGCTGATTCCGTTCGTTACAGGAGGGTTTTCCAGTGTGGCCAGCTGGGAGTCCAGGCCCTAACGACTAAACCTGCCTCCTGGCAAAGTGCCCTAACCTGGCCTGGAACTGGCTAGTCAGTGTCCTAGGTGCAGCACAACAGCAGATTCAACCTTGAAAATGCAGCTAATCCATCTGAGGAAAAATCATCCCAAACACCTACGCTTCGTGTGGAGAGAAAACTTGGGAAACAGGAGTGGTCAGAGCTGGGGCGAATGATAGCAAGTTAGAGATGAGTCTGCAGTCAGAGAGATCATAGTCTCTTTTTGTACAGTCCTGGAGTTACTCATTTTTTCCATTCTGGGCACATCACTATGAAGAGAAATTGGAAGGTTTTCAGAGAAGAGTAGCAAGTGATCGTAGGCTGCAGGGACTGATTTCCAAGGAAAGACTGAGAGCTCAGTATGTAAAGTGTGTCTAAGGGAAGATGCGGAGAAAAACCTGCAAATAGGCCACCAAGGAAGGAGGCGAGTTGTTCATTGCAGTACACAGGGGTACAGGGATAAAACAAAACCAAAACCAAACAAACAAAGGGAACATTTAGGCCAAGTATTAAGAAAACCATCTTGACAGTGAAATCTAGTAGAGAATGGAAGAGTCTCCCAAGGGAATGGGGGGAAGGGAAGTCCCAGAACTTGGGACATTTAAAACTACACTGGACGCACTGCAGGAGAACCCTACCCTGGCAGGACAGAGAGTAAGTGGATGACCCAGTATGTCAGCTCTAGTTGCAAGAACAAACCAATGGTCCAGCCCAGTATCCTGTCTGACAGTAGCTATTGCCAGATTCTTCAGAGGAAGACGTAATCCTCCTGCTTCACATACTGAACAGAAGTAATAACTGGAGACCCTGCATTCCAAGACTGCAGGAGCTTTCTTCCTGTTTCTTCATTTGGCTCCTGAAGATAAGAGTCCTGATAACATCCCAGTAGGTGTTGCTGCTACCACTTGCCTGGAAGACCGCGTGTGAGCGTGAGGAAGTAGCATTGGCGTCTGTGGGGTGCTGTGTGCGGTTTCTGTTCCCACTCGCTAGCATCTCCAGGAGCTGCTCTGCTGATTTTGGCTGGAAAGAAACACAGAAGGGTTAGTACCATACAGTGCTTCAAAGGGGAGGTCTTTGCAGCGCTCACCCATATGGGGAAGCTATGCCTTCCCCCTCCCAAGGGACTGGTAAGCACATCAACCAATGCACTAGTAGGTGCATACAAACCTTTGTGGGGAAGGTGAGCATAGGGCTGGGAAAAGATGCCACATTAATCTCCCTTGAGACTGAAGCCCTGTTTATCCAAAAAATGGGCAAAATCAGGACAAGCTTCCCCCATGCTACCCTGCCAAGGTGCCTCAGCTCTCACCTTGAGGGATCATCTCTGTGACGGTGCAGACTCTCCATGGCTCATTCAATCGTTGGCACTCTGATGAGAGTGCCAATGAGCAGATCAATTGTGATACAGATTACTGTCCACTGGAACTAGACTCAGACCAATCACATTTCACACATAACTGCCATCAGATGGCAATGGTGGCCAATTACTCTTCAGCTGAGCTGGGGTCAAACACATGTCCTGTGTGAATGGGGCTCCATATCCCATTATGGATCTCCTGAACCAAGTGTCTTAGCACGACGCTGGGAGCCAGGGACCTCTTGGTGCCAACTGGCAGAGGTACAGGTAATACAAGAGTTACAACAGGGGTTCCCAAACTTGATTCACGGCTTGTTCAGGGTAAGCCCCGGGCGGGCCACGAGACGCTTTGTTTACCTGAGCGTCTGCAGGTACGGCCACTCGCAGCTCCCTATGGCCGCAGTTCACCGTTCCCGGCCAATAGGAGCTGCGGGAAGCAGTGCGGGCCATGCCACTACTTCCCTCAGCTCCCATTGGCCGGGAACAACGAACTGCAGCCACTGGGAGCTGCCATACCTGCAGATGCTCAGGTAAACAAAGTGTTTCGCGGCCCGCCGGGGGCTTACCCTGAACAAGCCACGAACCCCTAGGTGTGATATCTACATACTAGTTTGCCAAAGGGTGTCATGTCAGGTATCTGCTGAATCCTGCCTGTTCTCACAGCCATTGTGAAGTGAATCTATGGCTAATCAGTATAGAGTTATGTAAATACACTGAACATAATGTTCTTAAGGTCTTTGACTTGGGGCTGGTCCCCAATGAGAGAAAAGTTTCTTTCAGGCCAGAGATATTTATCTTTCAGTCTATGTGAAAACGGAGTATTGTGTACTTCACACTGAAAGCCTATTTGCAATCTGAGCAAAATGCTAATCAAGGGATTGCAAAGGCTGTAGGGGAGCTTAGACAGGAAAACTCAAGCATCGTGAGTTATCCTATTTCCAAGTACAGACAATGGATTTCTGGGACTAGAACTGTAGGTGTAGAGACCCAATGTGCATCTTTCCCCTAGGAAGTAAGCTGACAGTGTGCTTGTTTTGCAAATAGAAGACAACTGCCAGACCTGGCTGGAGTACACTGGAAGGGTTTGGGGGGAGCTTTTGCTCTGTAGGACAGAACAATGTCCTATTTGTTAAGCTTAGGCTCTAGTACACGTGCTAGGATTTGATTTTGTAGGTATACCTTTGTTTCCAATATCTGCGCTTGCTATCATTTGAATTTCTGTTCTTTATTATTAAGTAAACTTTACATAAGAACAGCCATTCTGCATTAGACCAATGGTCCATTAAAGCCCAGTATCCTGCCTTTTGACGGTGGCCAATGACACTTGCTTCAGAGGGAATAAACAGAACAGGGCAATTTCAAGTGATCCATCCCCTGTCCAGCCCCAGCTTCTGGCATCTGGAGGTTTAGGAACACCCAGAGCATGGGGTTGCATCCCTGACCATCTTGGCTAACAGCCAACCTATCCCTCATGAACCTAATTCTTTTTTGAACCGTTGTTATATTTTTGACCTTCACAACATCCACAGCAACAAGTTCCACAGGTTGACTGTGGGTTGTGTGAAGTATTTCCTTATGCTTGTTTTAAACCTGCTGCCTTAATTTCATTGGGTGACCCCTACTTGTTGGGTTATGTAAAGGAGTAAAGAACACTTCCCTATTCACTTTCTTCATACCATTCATGATTTTATTGACCTCTATTATACTTCCCCCACCCCCCTTAGTCATCTGTCATCTAATATTAATGGCCCCAGTCTTTTTAACCTCTCCTCCTATGGAAGTTGTTTCATACCCTTAAACATTTTTGTTGCTCGTCTGTACCTTTTCCAATTCTAATATATATTTTTTGAGATGGGGCAACCAGACCTGCACACAGTATTCAAGGTATAGGTGTACCATGGATTTATAGGTTTCAGAGTAGCAGCCGTGTTAGTCTGTATACGCAAAAAGAACAGGAGTACTTGTGGCACCTTAGAGACTAACACATTTATTTGAGCATAAGCTTTCGTGGGCTACAGCCCACTTCAGCGGCTGCATAGAATGGAACATATAGAGAGGAGATATATATACATACAGAGAACATGAAAAGGTGGCAGTTGCCCTACCAACTCTAAGAGGCTAATTAATTAAGAGGAGCTATTAACAGCAGGAAAAAAAACCCTTTTGTAATGATAGTCAAGATAGCCAATTTCAGACAGTTTGACAAGAGGTGTGAGGATACTTAACATGGGGAAATAGATTCAGTGTGTGTAATGGCTCAGCCGTTCCCAGTCTCTATTTAAGCCTAAATTGATGGTATCTAATTTACATATTAATTCAAGTTCAGCAGTTTCTTGTTGGAGTCTGTTTTTGAAGCTTTTCTATTGCAAAATTGCCACAGATTCCTTGCCATGGATTTATAAGGTGGCATTATATTTTCTGCTTTATCATCTATCCCTTTCCTCATGGTTTCTAACATTGTTTTAGCTTTTTTGACAGCCAATCACCATTTAGCAAGGAATTATCCACAATGATTCCAAGATCTCTTTCTTGAGTGATAACAGCTGATTTAAACCCCATTGTTTTGTATGTATAGTTGGGATTATTTTTTTTCCAATGTGCACCACTTTGCACTTAAACATTGAATTTCATCTGCCTTTTTGTTGCCCAGTCATCCAGTTTTGTGAGATCCCTTTAACTCCTCACAGTCTGCTTTGGACTTAACAATTGAATAATTTTGTTTTGTCTGCGTACTTTGCCATGTCATTGTTCACTCCCTTTCCCAATCACTTCTGAATATGTTGAACAGCACTTGTCCAGTACAGACCCCACTGTTCCCCACTCTGCAGTGTAAAAACTGACCTACTCTTATTCTTACCCTTTGTCTCCTATCTTTTAAGCAATTATTGATCCATGAGAAGAACTTCCTTCTTATTCCAGCACTGCTTAGTTTGCTTAAGAGCTTTTGGTGTGGGACCTTGTCAAAGGTTTTCTGAAAGTCCACATACACTTTATCCGCTGGATCACCCTGGTCCACATGCTTGACGACACACTCAAACAATTCTAGTAGATTGGGGAGGTATTGTTTCCCTTTACACAAGCTGTGTTGACTCTTCCCCAAGTGTTCATCTACATGTCATCATTTTGTTCTTTACTATAGTTTCAACCAATTTTCCTGGTACTGAAGTTAGGCTTACCAGCCTGTAGTTACCAGGATCACCATGGGAGACATTTTTAAAAATCAGCCTTTCATTAGCTACCCTCTAGTCATAGGGTACAGAGGCTGATTTAAGTGATAGGTTACATACCACTTAGTCATTCTGCAATTTCATATTTAAGTTCCTTCAGAACTCTTGGATGAATATCTGATGCTCTCTAAGTCCTGGTCACTTATCAATTCAATTTGTTCCAAAACCTCCTCCTATTGACACCTCAATTTGGGACAGTTCTTCAGATTAGTCACCTAAAATGAATGGCTTGGATGTGGGGGCTTCCCTCACATCCTCTGCAGTGAAAATGATGCAAATAATTCATTTAGCTTCTCCACAATGGCCTTGTCTTCCTTGAGTGCTTTCTATTGCAGCTAGATTGTACAGTGGCAGGCTTCCAGTATACTGAATTTTGTTTTAATCTTAGTTTTTGATTAATTAGTTTTGTCTTTAGCTCTTCAAATTTGTTCTTTGCCTGCCTAATTATACCTTTATACTTGACTTGCCAGATGTTATGCTCCTATTTTCCTCACTAGGATTTAATTTCCAATTTTTAAAGGATGCCTTTTTGCTTGTAAAAGCTCCTTTACTTTGAGTAGCCATGGTGATGTTTTTTGGTTCTCTGACTGGGTTTTTTTTTGTATTATTATTTGAGGGTATACATTTAGTTTGAGCCTCTGTGTTTTTAAACAGTCTCTATGCAGTTTGTAGACACTTCACCCTGGTAACTATTCCTTCTAATTTCCATTTAACTAGCCTCTTCATTTGTGTGTAGTTTCCCTTTTTGAAGTTAAATGTTACTGTGGTGCATTTCTTTGGCATTCTCTCCATCCCTACCCCCCCCCCCCGATGTTAAATGTAATTCAGTTATGGTCATGGGTACTGAGCAGTTCAGCTATTTATATTTTTTGGACCAAATCCTGTGATCCACTTAGGACTAAATCAAGAATTGCCTCCCCTTGTGGGTTCCAGAACTAGCTGCTCCAAGAAGCCGTCATTTATGGTGTCTTGAAACGTTCTCTCTGGCTCCTATCCTGAGGGGATAGACCCAGTCAATGAGAGAATAGTTGAAATCCCCCCATTAGTAGTAGTAGTGTGTTTTCTGCGTTTGTAGCCTCTAATCTACCTGAGCATTTCACAATCACTAGGTGGCTAGTAGGATATTCCTACTGCTATACTTTTATTGTTCAAGCATGGAATTTCTATCCATAGAGATTCTATGGTACAGGTTGATTTATTTAAAATTTTTACTGTGACTATGCCTTCTGTCAGATATAGCACCACTCCCACACCAGTATGACCTAGTCTGTCATTCCTGTATATTTTGTACCCAGGTATTACCCTGGGCCATTGATCATTCTCATTCCACCAACTTTCCACACCGGCTATTACATTAATATCCTCATTTAACATCAGGCTCTCTAGCCGAGTGCTGCGTGTAAAGCAGAGCTGTGTCACCAGTAAGCTGTGGTATGCAGGTCTTTTGGGAACAGGGATGTGGAAATTCTGTAAGTGCCCAGGGCATCCAGGACTTCTCCAGGGACACACATGGAGGACTGGGGGGCTGATGTGTGCCTATTGCTAACTTCTAAAGAGTGAGTGGGGCCTGTGGAGGCCCAGAAGGCCGAGCTTGCGTTGCCAGGGGCTGGTGGTGTTGGCGAACTGACCCATGCCAGGAACAAACAAGACTCCTCAATCTATGGGTGAGTGGTAGCGAGGTATCTCAACCCTGGCTATCCCCAGGAAGCACTGTAGATCCACCATCACCCAGCTCTTCAGGAACAGTGGGAAGGGCTCAAGCAATGTAACATCTTCTCTGCTATTTTTCCTTTATTGAAACTCAGTTAGACCTGTAGCTGTGCCTAGTCCATGCACTCTGTTGTTGTAGGGAATCCTTATACTGTTATACGTACCTGATGGAAGGAGAGTCCCTGTACCACTACCCCTTTCTCTGGGTCCTCCCTGATTGCTAGAGGGCCCTTCGGCTCCAGGAGATCATGAATCTGCTCATTGTACACCTAGAACAAGGAATCAAGAGTAAACATCCTAAACAGCGACCCTAGGAAGCCAGAGGAAGGTTTTTGCATGGAGGGAGACAGACAGGATCATAGATTACAACAGGAGCGAAGAGAGTGGAATTCAAACAGGTCAGACAAGTTCTTCCTAGGGAGGAAGGGCTGATTCTCTGGAAAGGCTTTACACAAGTTCCATCAAGGAAGGGTGCTGCAGCACCACATATGCAAGCACCTATTTCCAAGGACAGCCTTAGACAGTTACAAGGACTTTATCCCATGTCACTGCAACTGCCCTTCTAAGAGCCCCTTTCATCCAGGAATCTCATAGTGCTTCACAAACAAACACTAAGCCTCACAAACCGCACACCCCTTAAATCATCCTTGCGATGCAGGGAAGTGTTGCCATATTACAGAGGCACACAGAATCAGCGTATTCAAGTTTACATAAGCAGTTGTAGAGCTGGGGACAAAACCCTGTTTAGAGGTGACCTGAGAGTTCAGACTGGGGATTTTAGATAGACTCTGCTCCAACAAGAAAGCTGGGTGTAGACACAATACACTGTATTGGACTCAGTAATGGCCTAGGAGAAGGGACTACACAAGTGAAAGTCTCCCTCCCTAATGGTTAAGGCAAGCACAGGAGAGTCACCGTAGAGTGTCTGTACAGCAGTGAGAAGAGGCCAAAAAGCAAGTGGGAAAAATGGAGACAGAACTTCTTTCCCACCCGAGGAACAGCTGGACTAGTCAGTGGCATCGTGCTATGGAATCTCAGCAGCTTGCTGGCACCATACTGAACCTGAGGGGATAGAGCCGTGTAATCCTAACTACCGCACCCTGACACTCCTTCTTTAAGGTGGTAGCGGATGGAAAGGGGTAGCGTCAGACACCCGGGTACCTCCTGGTAGGAGATGAGCACCTCGCAGCTTTTCTCCTCCTTCCTTGCCTCAATCCTCTTATAAAGCTCCACCATGGTGAGGTACATGATGCCTGGACTCTTCTCAGAGCCCAGCATGGTGTAGGTTTTTCCTGCACCTGTTGCACCATAGGCGAACACTGGAAAGAGAAAGACAAGACACTCTAAAAATTCAAAGACCAGAAAAACCCACTATAATCTAATCTGTCCTCCTATATATAGGCCAGAGAATTTCACTCAGTAATTCCTACAACCCCCTCTGGGGTTGAGCCAGGGTCTATATTTTTTAAAATAGGATGCTTATCTTGATTTAGATTTCAAGTTACAGAGAATCAGCCCCATCCCTAGATAAATTATTCCAATGGTTAATTACCCTCATTGTTGGAAATTTGCACCTATGGTCTACTCTGCTTTTATGTAGCTTCAGCTTCCAGCCACTGGATTTCATTATGCTTTTTGTCTGCTAGATTAAAGAGCCATCTAATATCAGAAATCTGCTCCCCATTTAGGTACTTATAGACATGATCAAGTCATCTAACCTTTTCTTTAATAAACTCATGAGACTGAGCTTCCTAAATCTTTCACTATAAGGCAGATTTTCCAGACCTTGACTCATTCTTGTAGCTCATCCCTGAGTCCTTTGCAATTTTTCAACATCCTTTTAAAAGTGTTGACTTCCAAATAGGACATGGTATTCTAGTGATTTCAGTCTCTCCCCATTAACAATACTTTGTACTTCTACAGCATCGTATTAAAGAATCTCAAAAATATTTTGCACAAGAAGGGCATGTTAAAAGAGAGCCAGTCACAGGTCTTTGCTCACAACGCACCCCAAAGAGAGCCAGGAATAGAACCTAGGAGTTCTGATGCCCAGGTCCATGCTCTAACCACTAGACAACTCCCTTCTGTTTTTAGTTCCTTATTACTGCACCAGCATGGCTGACTTGCAGAACTGCATTAATGTCTTCATATCAAAGGGGAGCTCCATGTTTGGTGGGTCCAACAGATGGTAGCAAACCGGACAATTGCCTGGGGCTCCACACCACAGGGGCCCCACACCGAAGGGGCCTCCGTGAAGCTAAGGTGCTCAGCTTCTGCTTCAGCCCCTGGGTGGTGGGGATCAGGGCCCCAGGCTTTCTACCCCAGGCCCCAGCGAGTCTAACACTGGCCCTGCTTGGTGGCCCCCCTGAAACCTGCTCGCAGCCCCTCAGGGGGCCACGGACCCCTGATTGAGAACCACTGGTCTACAGGAATACAGGACTGACCAGGCCGGATCCTCTACTGAGCCAGTCTAGTCTGGGATCCCATCTCAAGCTAAGTTATTAAAGTTTAATTGTGTGGACCAAATAGTGGGAAGGTGGCTCTGTTGGGGGAAACCAAATGAATGAAAAAGAGTGGAAGAGCCTCTTCTACGTGCAGCAGCTCCCTGCAAGTTACGGTGCTGGATGTGATAAAAATTCCCCTCATACACGCTGCAGGCAGTCGGCTCAGGCCCTGAGCAATGGCATTTGACTACATTCGCTGCATACTTAACCCTGCAATGTGTTCCGTTAACTCTGTAGGATGAAGCCAAATAAAATGCCACAGCAGGGCTCCTTACCAGAGCAGTTGTAGCCATTCAGCACCCCATCCAGGATCTCCTTAGTTGTGTGCTGGAATACTTCCTCCTGTGTAGCACTCTCACCAAACACTTGGTCAAACACAAACTTCAGATCCTTGCCCTTCCGCCTGGGGGCATCGTGGCCCCGGAAGCCTGTAAAAACTCCCGATAGACAGGGTTCCTCAGGGTCAAACACCAACATGCGGTCATCGATCACCTGCACCACAGCGTGTCGACTCCCTTCCTGCTCCTGCTGAGTCTGGGGCCGTACCCGCACCACCACTGCCACGTTGCCCTCTTCTGTGGGTAGGACTGACACCATGATTGCAGAGCCGCTTCAGGCAGTACTGCATCCAGAGAGGAAACGAAAGCCACAGTCAGAAGCCGGACCCTGAATACCCATCACTGATCGCTGGATTCACACCTTTTCAACAATCCAGAGGGGCTGCCAAGATGAATGGATCCGAATGACCAACCACTTAGGGAACTAGCTCTCTCTTCTCAGGGCAATAGACCCCTTTGTTTAAAAATACCGGACTGCTGTTTGCCATAGGTTCTCGGCTACCAACCTATTTGCCTCTCACACACTGTGTAATGCTCTAAATGCCAGATTTACAGTCTGGAGACTAAAGCCGATGTATCTGCAGAAGTACAACATGGGAACCTTGCCTACCCCTACCCCCACCCCCTCCTGCCTCCCATCACTATCACCAGTGCTCAACCACCTCCAGGGGAAAGGTCTTTCTGCTGTGACTATTGATAAAAAGGCAGTTAGCACTGCCAATTGCAATGACATTTGGTTTACAGGGTCACCTGTCCAAACACTGGACTGACATCTGCCCAGTTCCTTTAATATAAGAACAGCCATACTTGGTCAGACCAATGGTCCATCTAGTCCAGTATCCGGTCTTCCAACAGTGGCTGGTGCCCGATGCTTCAGAGGAAATGAACAGAACGGGGCAATTATCAAGTGATCCATCCCGTTGTCCAGTCCCAGCTTCTGACAGTCAATAGCCATTGACCTGTCCTCCACAAACTTATTTAATTCTTTTTTGAACCCAGTTATAGTTTTGTCCTTCACAACATCCACAGCAATGGGTTCCACAGGATAACTGTGCATTGTGTTGAAAAAAAAAATGCTTCCTTTTGTTTGTTTTAAACCTGCTGCCTATTAATTTTAATCAGGAACCTCTGTTGTATTTGAGAAAGGGTAACTATTAGGGCTGTTAAGCGGCTAAAAAAATTAATCGCGATTAATTGTGCTGTTAAACAATAAGAAGACCATTTATTAAAATATTTTTGGATGTTTTCTACATTTTCAAATATAGGATTTCAATTACAACACAGAATACAAAGTGTACAGAGCATCTTCATTTTCATCATCTGAGTCAGATGCCACCAGCAGAAGGTTGATTTTCTTTTTTGGTGGTTTGGGTTCTGTAGTTTCCGCATCAGAATGTTGCTCTTTTAAGACTTCTGAAAGCATGCTCCACACCTCATCCCTCTCAGATTTTGGAAGGCACTTCAGCTGCTTAACTCTTGGGTCGAGTGCTGTAGCTATCTTTAGAAATCTCACATTGGTACCATCTTTGCATTTTGTCAAATGTGCAGTGAAAGTGATCTTAAAATGAAAACGTGCTGGGTCATCATCTGAGACTGCTATAACATGAAATATATGGCAGAATGTGCGTAAAACAGAGAAGACGACATACAATTCTCCTCCAAGGAGTTCAGTCAAATTTAATTAACACTTTTTTTTTTTTAAAAACATCATCAGCATGGAAGCACGTCCTCTGGAACGATGGCCAAAGAATGAAGAGGCATATGAATCTTTAGCGCATCTGGCATGTAAATACCTTGCGATGCCAGCTACAACAGTGACATGCGAATGCCTGTTCTCACTTTCAGATGACATTTTAATTAAGAAGTGGGCAGCATTATCTCCCGTAAATGGAAACAATCTTGTTTCTCATAGCAACTGGCTGAAGAAGAAGCAGGACTGAGTGGACTTGTAGGCTCTAAAGTTTTACATTGTTTTGTTTTTGAGTGCAGTTATGTAACAACAACAACAACAAAAAAACCCTACATTTGTAAGTTGCACTTTCATGATACAGAGATTGCACTCCAGTACTTGTATGAGGTGAATTGAAAAATACTATCTTTTTACAGAGCAAATATTTGTAATAAAAAATAAAAAAGCGAGCACTGTACACTTTGTATTCTGTGTTGTAATTGAAATAGATATATTTGAAAATGTAGAAAAACTTCCAAAAATATTTACATTTCAATTGGTATTCTATTAACAGGGCAATTAATTTTTTTAAACGTGATTAATTTTTTTGAATTAATCGTGAGTTAACTGCCATTAATCAACAGCCCTAGGAAATATTCTCCACACCATTCATGATTTTATAGACCTTTATTAGATCCTTGGTCTCTTTTCTAAGATGAACAGCCCCACTCTTTTTAATCTCTCATCCTAAGGAAGTCTTTCCATACCCCTAAATAATTTTTGTTGCCCTTCTCTGAACTTTTGCAATTCTAATCTCTCTCTTTTAAGACGGAGTGACCAGAATTGCATGCAATATTCCATGTGTGGCCATACCATGGATTTATACAGTGGTACTATGATGTCTTCTGGCTTATTATCTCTCTCTTCCTTAATAGGATCTCTTTCCAAAAGGTCAGATAGCCACCAGATGATAGCTATGTGCTGGTCTCTGCCAACGTGAACTAGATTCGAAGTAACAACCTAGAGCAAGGGTGGGCAAACTATGGCCTGCAGGCCGCATCCAGTCCGCCAGCCATTTTAATCCTGTCCTTGAGCTCCCGTTGAGGAGTGGGGTTTGGGGCTTGCCCCGCTCTGGCACTCCAGACGTGAAGCAGGGTCAGGGGCTGTTCTGCATGGCTCCCGGTAGCAGCAGCATGTCCCCCCGCCAGCTCCGATGCGTACGGCCAGCCAGGGGGCTCTGCTCCGCATGCTGTCCCCACCCCAAGCACCGCCCCCGCAGCTTCCATTGGCCAGGAAGCCAAGCCAATGGGAGCTGCAGGGGCAGCGCCTGCGGACAGGGCAGCATGCAGCAGAGCTGCCTAGCCACACCAGAGCTGGGACATACCACTGCTTCTGGGAGCTGCTTGAGGGAAGCACCGCCTGGAGCCTGCCCCCCACACCCCAAACCCCTGCCTCAGCCCTGATCCCCCTCCCGCCCCTCAGTCCCAGCCCAGAGCACCCTCCTACACCCCAAACTCCTCATCCCCAGCCCTACACCCCCACCCTCCCTGCCTCAGTCCAGAGCCCCCTCCCACACCCTGAACTACTCATTTCTAGCCCCACCACAGAGACCACACCCCCTCCCAGAGCCCTGTCACAGAGTCCCCGGGCAATGCTCTGGAACTGCTCCCCACAAAGCCAGTCAGGACTTTGGGGAGCCTCCTCTCCCATGGAGCAGACTGTCTTCAGGGCAAGAAGCTCATATGGCTTCACCTCCTGGGTCTGACCTTGGCGCAGTCGGCATATGCCCCTCCGTGCGCTTCCCACAGCGAGTCCACCCAGGCAGGGCCCTGGGGAAGCCAGAGGGTCTTGCACCCCCACTTCGCAGTCAGACATGACTCTCAGCCAGCCAGTAAAACTGAGGTTTATTAGGTGACAGGAACACGGTCTAAAACAGAGCTTGTAGGTACAGAGAACAGGATCCCTCAGCCGGGTCCATTCTGGGGCCCAGCGAGCCAGATATCCACGTCTGCCCTCACTTCCCGTCCCCAGCCAGCTCCAAACTGAAACCCCCTCCAGCCCCTCCTTTCTGGCCTTTGTCTTTTTCCCAGGCCAGGAGGTCACCTGATCTCTTTGTTCACCTTTAGCTATTCCCTTGCAGGGGGGAAGCGCCACAGCCATTTGTTGCTAGGATACAGAGTGTCAGCCATGTACGCACACTGGAGACTTAAGACATGCATAGGGAAACTGAGGCACTCACACAGTCCCACTTCATCACAAGCCCAACCTCAATTTCATGTGCATTCATGGCCCATCATACAATTTCCATACCCAGATGTGGCCTTCCATACCCGATCTAGAGGTTAAAAGGTCATATATCCTCCTCTTGTATATATTAGTGCAAGGAGACCAGAAAAGGGGGTCATGAAAGATCCCTTCTGATCCCTATTAGCTTCTCCACAGACATGTTACAGATCAAAGCCCTTTATTTTGGGCATGAATAGCCCGACTGTCAGAGTTGTCCCACACCCACTGATCCTATTAATTATAGTGGGAGTTGTGGGTATTAGACACTTTGGGGCAGGGAGAATCAGACACACGGATGTCCTGAATGTACCCACTCCAGCAGCGCTCTGAACACCAGGTGGCACGGACTCACCTTCTACGGAAGAAACTGAAAAGGCAACAGCGATGAACTTCGAATGACCTGCCAAATAATCCTGCCCTCCCCACCCCCTTTGGCCACCTTTTGGAAGCGTGAAATTTAAGTGTAGTTGCTTCGAGATCGCACCCATGTGGCGCGCGCGAACAGGTTAGTTATTTTAGACCTGCCCTCCCCTCCCCCCCCGGCTCCCCGTGTTCACACGGATTTATTTAGGAAACGGAGCAGGTAAGGTAGACAGTAGGACGGCGCATTGCGCCGAGCGCACGGGGGGGAACCCGCAGGGCGCCGCGCTGTGCTGGGGAGAGGCTCTGGCAGGGGGGCTGGAAGTGGGGGCGCGTGCGGGGTTCGCAGCTCGGCTCAGTGGCTCTCACCCCCCCGGCTCCAGGGGGCTCTGGGCCAGGCCCCCCCGCGGAGGCGCCGAGTCCCAGCGGGGCTGGAGGCACGTGACACTCCCGCCCCCCCCCCGGCTGGTGCCCCTTCCGCCCCCCCCCCCCCGGCTGGTGCCCCTTCGCCCCGGGCCCGGCCCAAGGCCCCCTCAGCGCCTCGCGGCCAGGCCGTATTGGTGAACCGGGAAGGGCCAGGGCTCCCCTGGCGCCCGGCCGCGGCGCTTACCGTGGAACGGGACTCGCCTTCCCGGCGCGACCTCCCGCGCGACTAGCCACTTCCGCCTGCCGCCTTTCAAATCACCCGGCAACGCCCGGCCGCTCTCCCCATTGGCGGCCAGCCGTCTTCTGATTGGCTCTGCGCCGCCAGAGGGCGGAGCCCGTCTCCGTCACACACCCAATAGGCGTGTCCTCAGGCGGAGGGGGGGGTCGCAGGGCACGCCGGGAGTTGTAGTTCTTTAAGGAAGGGTCCCGCGGACGTACTGCGGCGCCGGGGCTGGCCCCTTGGGGATGGGGGCGCGGGGTCCCGCTCCAGGGGTGCGCCGCGGGCTGCAGGTCACTGCTCAGGCCCCCTCAGCAGGACGGATGGGTCCCGTTGCCAGCTTAGCCAGGGCGCTATGCAGTGATGTTGGGCATGGCCCAAGTTGGGGCCTCAGTTTCCCCACCCGCCGCATGGTAGCGCTGAGCCCAGACGCCTAGGCCCGCAATGGAGATTGGGGCTGGTAAAGCGCTTGAGATCCTCCCTGGGAAGGGGCTACCCATGCAATGGACAGTGCTATGCACTGGGGTGCAGTCAGCATGGGGGATCTGCAGGGTTGGACCCACAGGGCTGCCCCTAAGCACCAGCAAGGCCAATAACTGCTTGGGCCCCTGTGCTTAGCTATATATTACTGGGTTTTATTTTCTTCAGTGCCAGCGGTGGAACAGCTAATATACACCCAGGCTGGATTGTCAAACCCTCCTATTTGGACACCTGCTTCCTATTGAAAGTCAATGGGAATGTCCCTTCAGAGGCTTTGAAAATCCCAGCTCCACAGCATACAACTGTAGGTCATGTGAAAGGGCCAAGGATTTCACATCCCTTAAGCAAGCTGTGGAAATATCCTTTGGGATTGTCAGTTTTATTTTGCTAGTTCAGGGGTTGGACTGGACTAACAGCCCTTCCATGGGGGTGGGGGAGATAGTTTGTGGGGAGCTGGTGAGGCCTTGTGGGAAGCTGAAACAGAAACGAAGTGGGGTGAACATGCAGCAGAATAAAGCCAACACTGTACATTGGGATCAGAAGGTGGTTCTGCTGTGAAGGCTCACCAGGCCCACCAACACCAAACAACCAAATTCATCCCTGGAGTAAGCAAATGCAACCACAGTGAAGTCAATGGCTCTGCTTCAGAGCCAGGGGGATTAGAAACACATGATATGTTTGACAGGGACCCCTTCTGCTCTGTATAATCCTTCAGCTGGGGTGGTATTTGCAGTAATAATGGCCTGATTCTAACAATACCTTAAAATTCCACTTAACATAGTGAAAGTAAATGTCTAAAATCCCAGCCCAAGCTAAAACTTTGTTCCCTTTTATGTTTTACAAATTAAAAACATAAAGCCCCCTGCCACCTTCTTCTACACCTAGAGCCTGAAATACCCAGGAACATGGCCCCTTGTCACTTACAATAGTTTTAATACACTCAAGATCATCAGAGTAGCTCTTTCTAAGAGAAAACTCATCAAGGAAATCCTACCTAAAAAGAGTCAAGAAGACCCCAGAATTCCTTGGTGAGTTTGACCTGCCAATCTGGCCCCACAGCTGTCTAGATTAGGGTGCTCCACTTTCCCCATTGGACAACTCCCAGATGTTTTCCCACTCCCTCCCCCTGCCAGGTATCTGCCACACATATATCAGAGTTTGGGAGTGTGGAATTCCAGATTGTTCACATTTGGTACGTTATGCAGCTTCTGGGGTATATGGAAATTATACCTGCCAGCAATTATCCCTCCTGGAGGGAGGGATAGCTCAGTGGTTTGAGCATTGGCCTGCTAAACCCAGGGTTGTGGTTCAATCCTTGGGGGGGCCATTTAGGGAACTGGGGTAAAAAAATCTGTCTGGAGATTGGTCCTGCTTTGAGCAGGGGGTTGGACTAGATGATCTCCTGAGGTCTCTTCTAACCCTGATATTCTATGATTCTAAGTACAGAGGGCTTCAGTCTTCCCCAGAGAGCTGAGCATGCAAATTAGCCCATGACATGTGGACCGCTTCCTCCATTCTCCCACTTCACCTGTAGAGGGTGCCAAACAACCTGCCAGGCCTTGAGCTCACATCTTCCAGAGAGTGCCTGCCTCGCCATGCACAAGAAAGCAGCATTTCTTAGGGTTCCATGCTGCCCCCTGGGGGCAATGGGTAGTACAACTGGCACTCTGCAAAAAGAAGAACAGAAGTACTTGTGGCACCTTAGAGACTAACAAATTTATTAGAGCATAAGCTCTCGTGGACTACAGCCCACTTCTTCGGATGCATATATAAGAAGTGGGCTGTAG